CATCTTTATGGGAAACTAATTGGCACTTTATTAAAAAGGCTTTTTAATTAAAAATGTTGACAAGTCTTGATATTTTTAGTAAGAATGTTTTAATAGATTTTAAAATAATTGTTTATAAAATACATATTTATAGTCTTATTATGTCAGGAATAAAATGACATTCATTCAAATACGCTATTAATCTGCAATGACTTCAATAATTAAAAGTCCTAACTTGAAATTTACTCCTCGTTTTGCTGCTTCTTATTTATCAATCATCAGATTATGAATTATTTATTTCAAAATAAATGTCAATAAGTACAATAATAATGAAAATTTCCTTTAAATGAGATGTCTTTCAATATTTTCGTATAATAACTATTAGGTATGTATCAATGTTCTACTTATGTAACTATTTTACAAGGTAACCCGATAAGTTTCGAGCCGTACGAAAGCTTATAACCCGTACAAATATTTTTTATCATCTTTTTAACTGATACCAAAACTAACAGCTTCGGTTTCCGCAACTATTGGAACAACTGTCTCGGCTAACTAATAATCTACTTACACGAAAAATTACTCCGTAAAGGAAACAATGCGAACAAAGCAATTTGAATCTAAAGTACTAGTGTATTTAGAGAACAAAATCCATTCGCCACAAAATTAAAACGCTAAATAAATTGCATTTAGTACGACGTCATTATGTTCAAGGCTTACGATGATCATTATGTCATCCACCGATCCGAGAACCTTGAACTCTTTGAGGTTATGATTGCCTGGTATAATCTGCCTGGATTTACAAAAGTCTAGACTTGTTTAAGTAGATACGTTTTTTATTTCAAGTCATTTGTAGAATTTTCTGTGTTCTTTGTGGTTCGGTTTTTTTATATTTTGCCTGTTAATTTTTGTTGATAATATTTGCTTGTTTACTTATTTTTAGTTTTTTAAAAATAAAATAAAATTTATATTTTATATAAAATGAAATATAATATTTAAAATAATCATACATAGTAGGTGTATAGACACATAAATTATCTGATGAAGAGGTAAAATATGTAAGTTTGTATGTAGGGGGTAATCTTTGGAACCGCTGGTCGGATTGCCAAAATTCTTTTACTGATAGATAGCTACAATGTTCCTGAATTCTATATAGGCTACAAAACATCTCGCTATATGTAATCAAATGGAATCGAGCAGGTTGAAACCGCGCGAGAGTAGCTTGTGTAATTATAATGGGCGGTCTTACCACCCAACGCGATTTCTTCCAGACAACCTTTAGACGGAAACGTCAAAAAACTTACATAACTTTTCAATTTATTGACGCCCAACAATAAAAATAGTTTCATGTCACGTAAAAATAAGAAGACTTTATAAAAAATTAAGGCATAATATGAATGAGACCTAGGCCCTAACACATACATAGGTTTACATTGGAACTTTTTCGTTCATTCGGGGTTGCGGCAAGCGTACAGATGTACTGCGGCTATGTCCTGAAGCAGGATAAGGAAAAGAGTGGTTTTTAATCAGTAAGAGTCCGAAACTCCCTCTCCACCCACCCAGAGCGAAAGTCGTCATTTGATGATATACCAACAAAAAAAAACTGCTTCATCCATTCAATAAAAGTACAGGTGAAAACTAAGCTAACAAATAGATATTCAAATATAACCATTTCTAAATGTAAATGAATCCCAAAATCAGAATTAAGAAGCTTTTACTAATAAGATATCAGCTAAACAAACGAATTATGAGGATATATAAATATTGATATTACCAACTTATCGAATATTAAACAAAGACCCGAGTCCCAGTACCTACGATATCTCGTTTAGTCAGAACCAAAGTATAATTAACGGTATTAAATTGTATGTAGTACATTGTTAATTGTGGGAACATTCATGTTGACAATCATCGGTATTAACAATCATTGTACAGCCAACTAACCGTACATTAAATGCTGATAATGTTACCCAAAATTCGACTTTATACCATAGCGTTAAATATTGAATTGATATGCAGTTGTGTAGTATAAATTACTGTAGTTCGCTCATTTCACATGATAAGTTGGCGCTACTGTAAGTAGGTACAGTTTTTGTCTATTCACGTTCAAGTTCAGATTTAGAAATCATGACTTTCGACCGTTCGAAATTTGAATCGTAAATTAATATAAAATAGGTTTTAACGGATATAACTTTGAATACGCATTTTAGACTTAATTGCGTAATATAAATAAATGTGAAAATCGCAAAGACGTTAAATATGAAGACCAAATGACGCCAAGATTATTTACGCGGAAAGGTTTTCTTGCATCTGTTGTTTCTTCATTTTTGGTTTAATGAGCAATTATTATTATGACAATAGCATGTGTAACTTAAACTAGACTAAATTACAAAACATATTTATAAAATAATACCACAGTAACAGCTTATTACGTGGCTCAATAAGCACAAACGTTGTCACATTCGACACACAATACGAAGTTAAATAACTGTTTTATTGGTCTCTGTGTAAATCGCTTTCAATGGCCGCCGCCGTGATCGACAGACGCGGGCGCATTCATAAGTATACAATGCGCCATTTTGGGATGTATTTTACGTAAGTACCTATATGGACATGATGGAGACTCAAAAGATTGGCCATTTCGGTTGCAACCGCTTTTTTCTTTTTTTAAAAGACATCGATTTAAGTTTTGTTTAAATGTGTGTGTGTGTTTTTATGTTACGTAACGGCATTGTTGTTTTTTCATTGGGCTTGTACGTACCTACGTACCTATAGTTATTTCGCTTCACTAATTACCAAATTAGTTCTTATTGCGCAAACGTTTAGTGTCAAATTTCTTTCGGCAATTAACCGTTTTTCTCAGCACTTAGTGACTTATCAGTGGTATGTGAAATTGCTACCGCGGTATTAGCCCATCAGTGGTATTTAGCAGATAATACTGATTAAGTGTCTACTACTTGTCCGTGTTAAGTTTGACAAATTACATTTTTTTGTGTTGTTTACATTATAGTGAATAATGGTCAAATTTACTGTCAGATTTATTAATAGCATAGTGTCCTTGTCTTTTTCTTATATTTTTTATGTCTTTTTTTATACTTTTATACTAATATTATAAAGATGTAAAATTTGTAAGTTTGTTAGTTTGTATGTAGGGGGTAATCTTTGGAACCACTGGTCCGATTACCAAAATTCTTTCACTGATAGATAGCTAAAATGTTCCTAAGTGCTTTAGGCTATACAACATCACGCTACGATAAAATGGATTATGAATAATATGATTACTATCGAACTTCAGCTGATGATAACACAAGCCTGGTACAGTTTTCCATAGTGAAACTAGGATTATATCTTCAGATGTTAGCGGTCACCTCAGCCTAAGAACACCCGCCTGGAAAGACCTAATAGATCACAGATGGGGCCCATCAATGCTGAAATTTAGCCAGGGTTGCGAGGCAAGCGTAATAAGGCACCACGGCCGCGGCCTGGAGTAGAAGAAAGAACTTGGATAAAAGGAATATGAAACTCTTCCACACTCCCTCTCGCCTCACCCTGGGCAAGAGAGAAGTCATTAGATGACTTTCACCAATAAAAAAAGCCTAACGACACTTACAACACTAGCGCCACCACAAACGCGTTGCCAACCATGGAGGAATATACCATCATACTGTTGTTTCAGAATATTTTTGTACCAATAATAGGTATGTGCTGTCATAATAATATCTTCTTACCTCAGATAAAAAAAAACTGCAATACTTCTCTCATATAGGTATGAATACCTAGAGCTAGAGCAACGCTATTTTATCTATAGATCACCTTCACATTCATGATACTTAAATTTTTGATGGTAGAATATCGTCCCATTACTTCAAGGTATCGAAAAAGACTGTGAAACTCTTAATGACTAAAAACCTCTCTATTCCTTGTCCTGCACCTAACGGTCCGAGATACTTCATTTCGCTTACAGCCCAACCCCGTATATTCATTCTGTTATATTTCCTAGAGCGCCCCTTTTTTTCCTACATGCCTTAAAACAAGTAAAACTCGGGAGTCTTCCCAATATGCGTTCAGTGAATGAGTAATTTCAAAACTATAGCAAACAAGTATTTCTGCCAAATGCAACTAAATTAGCAAAAACTGTGCGCATTTCATGAAAATATTACATGGTCCGGTAGTTGTTATTATGAAGGTAATTAATTGAAACATTTTAATTATGAATAAAACGTTGAGACTACTTATATAAAATGTCCAAAAATAAGTTGAAGCAAAAAATATCGTATACCACGATGTTACCTAGTTAGCAAATGAGTATTATTAAATCCATTTCAATGGTAATTAACATGCAATCCTATGCAAATATTGTTAAAACAAAAACCTGCAGTGACGTCCGCAGCACTTACATGCAGCTACCTACGTAACATTTAAAAGAAACTTGATATAAGTTTGTCTTATCAAAACAATATACATATGCAATGCAATATAGTCTGCATTACAAAATATAATACCAATCAATATCAATTTATCTTGACAGAAATGGTACAACTGTATTAATTTTTGTAAGTGGACAAGTACAATATTGGTTTGCGCTTAGATTTACTCGTTTTGCGGTAAATAGAGCAGGGTTTATGCACTCACTGACCGCGCAACGTGAGCCTTGAACGACTTCATTCAATAATGAAACTGACCCACCAACAAGACAACTGTGCACACTCGAATACACTTTCAAAGAAAGAATAAATATCAGTCATAAATCAATCGCTTCTCTTTTTGAAATTGTTCCCATGTGCCTGTATATTACGACTCCAACAAAAACAAACATGAATGAATTCACGTCGGATGTCGAGGACTAATTATACAATTAAAAATCATCATCTTGTCAACCGGCCCTCGCAATATGATGATTGATTAAAAGCAAAAAGTCATTTTACGTAACCAACTTGAAGAGCACAAAAAATACGGCAAAGTACATCAAGAACCGGACTCTACTTCATCTGAAGAGAAAAATAATGGACAATGCTTACGCTTACATTTTCCCGTGACGAAGATTACTTGTGGTGAAGTCCCATTGTGTCCATTCAGCAATTGTAAAGACGTGCACTCACTGCCTCTTCACAAAAAACTGTCTAAAAACCTCTTTTGTCAACTGTTTACCAACGTTTGTTAGAATAATACGCGACGAATTTAAATTTCGATTTGAGCAACTTCTTTAAATAAAGAATTAGTAAATCGCGTTTAAAATTCAAATGCAAACGGCCGATCAAGTCCGAAGCTCGCAAGCGACTCGCGAATGGCGCGCCGCTCATTCAGTATAGCCATAGCTATGAACCACGGGGTCTATTGTGCTTGGGTACCTTGGTTGGCAGACACGCGAACCCTCCTGTCTCGCGGTGATCCCATAGCTATACGAATAGCGGCTCCCTCCCCCGCTTCTAACGAACATTGAACTAGAATTTCGTGAACTTGACTAAACACACTCCTAGAAGTTGTTTGTAAACAAACCTGTGTTGACACAGCAAGATAGATGCAGTATTTTTGTCTCTATAATTTATAAGTGTGGGCGTTTTGTTAGTTCAACTATTTTTATTAGAGAGTCCTATCGTGGGTGTCGCATAAATTACTTAACACTTCGATTCAGTTGGAAAATATCTGTTGGAACCGCACTAATGATCAACCATCAATGTGTTAGAATCGATGTACGAATCCGTTCAGATTAATTTCACACTATTAACATTTCTTTCCTAGTTCTAAACAAATACGTATTCGTGTTCGTAACCCACTGATCTGTTATAATTGGAACTATTTAAATATTTAAAATTCTTTATTTTTATTGGTAGCAATTTTAATTTAGCATACGTTCCGGTTTAAAAATAAATGTTTTAATTAGCACATGGCCTAGAACTGGCTGGCGAAAGTGCTAATGTCATTGACTTGTTATTTATTATTAGTCGCTAATGCAATCACCCGTCGTTGTACACTTTATTCAGCCAGATGCGATCTCGGTCTGTAGGTATAAATAATATAGAAATACATTATTCAAAAACAATGTCAAGACGCTTTCCGATCTTTTTGTTCTTGTTAACAAAGAAATGTTTGAGTCGCTTCACATTTTTTGCTAATACAAAATCAATTTGAAATGTTCTTCTATGGTATAAGATTTTTGTAACACATCACATCAACAGCCTATAAGTGTCCACTGCTGGGCAAAGGCCTCTTCTCACACAGAGAAGGTTTGTGCACTAATAACCACGCTTGCTCAAGACGGATTGGCGATTTCAAACTTATAGTAATTATAAGTCCAGGTTTCCTCACGATGTTTTCCTTCACCGTATGTCAGTGGTGTCTAAATAATCATAGAAAGTACATATAATTCGGAAAAGTCACATTGGTACTTGCCAGGTTTCGAACCCGCACCCTCGTGCATGAGAAGCGGGCGCCTTAACCTCCGGGCCACCACGACGCTTAACACATGCTTAGTATTTATACTGAGAAAGAAATCTTGTTACAGTACATTCAATAACGAAAAATGAACGATACGGTAAAGCAACATTTCTTCGGTTTATTTAGAAATGGAGAAAAAATATTTGACCTCGGATATCGATCTCCCATAACATAAAACCTTATCTACCAGAAAACGTGTCAGACGATAGATAGAGAGACTTTTACTGAATGTAACTCATTTAATATTCGAGATAAATTTTATCGTTTTGTGAAAGAAGGTTGACTGGATGTGTTGTGATTTTTTATGGAGTAAAGCGGCAAGTTGAGTTAACAGACCACCTGATGGTACGCAAATGATGTCGTCTACGAGACACACATAACATTAAAGGAGTTACAAATACGTTGACGATCTTTTTTATTTGATAGTTGGGAAAACGAGCAGACAGATTAATGATGGTAAGCAATCAGCGCTGCCCATGGACACCCCTAACAGCAGAGGAGTTCCGAGTGCGTTGCCGACCTTTTGGGGATTAGGGATTTTGGGATCATTGGGGCATTGGGGCAGGGGAAAGATTGGGCCTCCAGTAACTTCACTCACATGGTGAAATACAACGTTGTGATTGTTTGAAGCCGGTTTCTGTGAGGCCGTGGTATCAATCCGGTCGAGCCGACCCATTCGTGCAGAAGCTTGGCTCTCCCACACTTTTCTAACCTTACAAGCAAGGCGAAACAGAAAACAAGCGTTACTTCACTTCGAGCTTGTGTTCTGATATAACATAGCCATTAGCCACAGGCCGCACGCGCCGAGGGTTAATTTTGAAGGGGAACGATGCGATGCGCTTCGCGACGAGCGACAAGCTATAAATTAGGTATATTTATATCGATATGATAAATTATGTATGTTCTCTTGTTTTTGTTTACTCAATGTGTTTGTGTGCGTGTATAAGCCTAATAAAGAGTTCATCGAATTTATTGAAAAAAGATTAGATGATTTTTGTAGAAGAAGGCCCAAACACAAAGACCTCTCCCCATCCCTTCCCAATCTTTAAATAACTGAAACCCTTATCCCAAAAAGGCCGGCAACGCTCTCGTTTGGTGTTGCGGGTGTCCATGGGCGGCGCTGATTGCTTACCATCAGGTAATCCGTCTGCTCGTTTGCCGATCTATTACATAAAAAAACACAGCTAACGACAGTTTTTCACGAAGAAAAAGGTAAAAACAATACATAAATGGATATTACAAATAATCAACCTATTTATAAGGTTGTAGAAGTGATTAGCTATTTTTCCAACATGGTGGTTTTCAAAAACTCTTAAATACCTATGATGTCCATCCTCCATTTATTTCGTAGCTCCGTAATCAAATTCTTTACGCCCCGCGTTAACTGCCACGGTTGCACTTCCTTCGTGCACCGTGCGATATCGATCCATGATACGGAATGAGGGTTCCTTTCCGAAACAGGGGAGATACACAGCATATCGAACCACCCCAAAAACTCCAATATCTTCAACAGATTTTCAGCTCTATTTTTAGACAATATAGAGTTCAAAGTTGGTAATGGATGAGGTTAACTTGAAGGTAAGTATGATGGAAAATATAAGCTTTATAAGAAGTATGTATGTTTCGATTTTTCGTAAGCGAGGGTGTCCTGTCATTCTGTTGTTTTATTCCCTGCTTCGTGTTATTAAACTTGAGTTATGTTTAGGTGTGTTTCTAATCACTTAAGTAATTCATTGATAGCTAAGCAATTTCAGAACCAGATATCTATTACTTGGAAGTTAAATATTTATAATATCAATTTAGTTATTACTAGCTGTTACCCGCGACTCCGTTCGCGTGGAATAGTGACTTCCTGCAGATTTTTGGTATAAAAACTACCCTATGTCCTTTTTAGAGTTCCAAACTATGTCTGTACCAAATTTCACAGAAATCAGTTCAGCAGTTTAGGCGTGAAGAAAAGACAGACAGACAAACAGAGTTATTTCCGATTATAATATTAATTTGGATTATGATAAAAAATTGATGCAATATGTTTATATGGAAATAAACAATATTATAGACACACATTGATAGAAATGATATACTAAAATAAATACACAATAAATTTTCTTCAGTAAGAATGTGGCGATATACACTCATATCTTTGTGCTGTTGTACACATAAATTATTATTAAATTGCTTATTTATTAATAATAATACTTTTTCACGTAATATGCACAATGGTGCACTTAAGTTTTTTTTGTCGAAGGCACTCTACCAAGTTCCAATATATTTAAAGGTGACACAGAGACAGGTCAAGGCAGATATTACAACTAGTTTCATAATAGATGTCGCTATTCCTTACTTTGCATCAAAAATAAATTGAGATAGTTAACATTATAAATAGAACCGGTTTCTTACAATAACAATAGTACGATAATACTAAATTGTCAAGAGCAATCGTCTGGCACTGACATCATTTGCATGCGCACGCATTTCATTTATCCTATTTCGCCGCGGTCCATTTGACCAGACATAGAATTGTTCGGCAACTATTTTTATCTATTTACTTTTTAAACGCTGTCAAATCTATTCTAAGATGGCGTATACGGTACGAAAGCGAAGTTGTTTTACTTTGTTATTCCATTATTCTGTTTCCTTTATCTCGGTGTGTTAAGACCGCCTATTGTATTCTCTGTACTAAGTTATAAGCCTGCTCTTTGTAGAATTTTAAATAATGTGTACAAAAAAGAGTATTTAAATTAATTCATAAAGAATCTGAAGAGTAATCAGTCTAAGGTCCCTGTTTTGCAAAGAGAAAAATAACAAAACGCCTTTTCTCTTTTAACTCTCCGAGAAGGTACTGAAATCAACATACCTACTGAACGTATATATGTATATATATAAGTAGGCACTGTGAAATAAAAGGCGATTCTACTCAACATTTTAATAAATAAATCTCAATAATGATAATCCTTATCCGGGAATTGACTCCGTCTTCTAACTTTTATCGGTAGCGTAAATTTTTTAGAACTTAAGCAATCGGCGCTGCCCGTTAACATTCGCAACTCTAGAAGAATAACAAGCGCGTTCACGCCCTTTTAAAGGTTGTTAAAATTTTGAGGATTGAGAGTTTGGGAATGGGATCTGATCTCCAGTAATCTTACTCACACAACGAAAGACAATATAGATGTATTTTCACGGCAGTTTTCTGTTAGCCATGTCACCAACCTGAAATATGACTCTACCACATTTTGACTTAAATATTTTATGCCTCCAAACATGCTAAAACGGAATCGAGAATCGATGACGACGACTAGACTAATTAAGAGCTACCTAGTCATCGAATACAATACACCACTATGACTATATTAACACTAAGTAATTTAATTATTCACACAATATAATGACCCATTCATAAGCCGTTATCAACACGATATTATCACTTGAAATGTCACCTAATTGTCATATAGCAATGAATAGTAAGTAATTAAGTAATTGTTTTGTCGCCGGGCAAGGCCTCTTTGTATTTAAGAATAACGTACCTTTAAGTACTCGATACGTAAATAATTTCTAATATGCAAATCCCATTTACAATGAGAGAACCTGTCGCTAAGCGTAGTCCTCAGTTGTAAATGAAAGGTAATAAAAAAAAAATCAGTAGCAGTGTTTCAGACAGACACACATACCTACAGATAGATAAACAGTCATGTAAAATTTATAACAACCTACGGTCTTGGCGTTGGGGGTAGGAGAGAAGATATTTCGAAATATATAAATCGAACCAAAACCCTTGATCTACAATCACATTTGCCATTATTTGACTTACATAGCGGCTAGTTTCACTTT